AAAATGTGAGGGTCTTTACAGTACATTACAGAATTAGAACTAAAAGATTCACCTGAATCCTTCTCTCACTGAAAATCTTTGACCTTATTAAAAGGCCTATGTTGAATTGTTTTAATCATTTGTATAATTCAAATCAATTCTATAGTGTGTTTAACAATGGAAATTGTCACAAAGTAGCTTTACAGAAATAAATAAATACATTCAGGACATAAATTTTAAATGTATGAATTTATCCCTAATGAGCAAGCCAGAGGCGACAGTGGCAAGGAAAAACTCCATGAGACGACATGAGGAAGAAACACTGAGAGGAACCAGACTCAGAAGGGAACCCATCCTGATCTGGGAGACAGTGTATCCAGGGTGCAATTATAAATAAATCCCTTCTATAACTGTATACATGGTCAAATAATGCAATTGTGTAACCAGGCAATTCATTACAGTTTTCAGATAAAGTCTGTTTTGTTGAACTTATTCACTGTTCAATGATGGAGACTTGAGTGCTAAACTGTTCATAGCAATTGTAGTCCTAAGCCATCATAGCATAACTGTTCATATGAATTGTGGTCCAAAGCCATCTTCATGGTTTTTAAGTGGTACCATCCTCAGTAATCTCAATGAACTTCAGGCTGTCCATGTGATGCCAGCAGCAGCGAGTGATTTCCAATTGATGAGAACTCCAACCAGAAGTAAAGCATCAGGATGGCTCAGGCAGGTCCGGAGAGCAGAAGGGTCAGGATCCCTGGTATCTCAAGAGTATCATGTGTAGCTCGACAGATAGTAAGAGAGAGAGAGAGAGAGAGAGAGAGAGAGAGAGAGAGAGATTATTAGGTATGCTTATTGTCCTGCAATGGTTAAGGACAATGTACTTTTGCGTGCAGAGTGCAAGCAGGGACTCCGGCAAGACTAGCTATAACAGCATAACTAAAAGGGAGAGCCAGAAGGTAACGCAGACATGATGGCACTCTTGGACCTAAAGCGGGCAGCCACTCCACCGTCAACTAACCTGAACGAATGTGTGAGAGTGTGGGGGGTGACAGCATCCAAACATCCCCGTTCACCACAACACTCTATGCCAGTGAACCCTCCAGATCTGCTCCTTTACCTAAGAAAAAAAATATTCACAAAAGGCTTGACTAAACCAATATGTTTTCAGCCGAGACTTAAACACTGAAACTGTGTCTGAGCCCCAAACACTAACTAGAAGGCTGTTCCATAACTGTGGGGCTTTGTAAGAGAAAGTTCTGCCCCCTGCTGTAGAATTCACTATTCAAGGTACCAACAAAAAGCCTGATCCTTTTGATAGAAGTAGGCATGGGGGCTCATAAAAGACCAAAAGTTCGCTCAGGTACTGTGGCGTAAGTTCAGTGCTTTATAGATCAAAAGCAGTATTTTATAATCAATGCAAAATTTCATTGGGACCCAATGCAGTGTGGATAAGATAGGGGTGATGTGGTCATATCTTCTGGTTCTAGTAAGGACTCTTGCAGCTGCATTCTGCACTAACTGGTGCTTGTTTATGCACCTACTGGAACAGCCAGAGAGTAATACATTAAAATAATCCAACCTAAAGGTAACAAAAGCATGTACTAATTTTTCTGCATCATGTAGTGATGTTATATTTCTTATCTTAGCAATATTTCTGTTCAATGTTCAAATGAAAGTCTGGAGTCAATAATCACACAAAGGTCTTTTACTGCTGCACATAATGTAAGTGAAAGGCTATCCAGAGTTACTTTGTAATCAGAAAGCTTACTTCTAGCTGCATGTGGTCCTAGAACAAGTACTTCTGTCTTGTCAGAATTAAGTAAAAGGAAGTTAATAAGCATCCAGTGTTTAATGTCCTTTACACTATTCCGCAACTTTATTAAGCTGTGTTTCATCAGCATAACAGTGGAAGCTAATACCATGTTTATGAATTATTTTTGTTAATTTTTGTAATGTGAAAAAAAGCACATATAATCAAAGACATTTGTCTGATACAAAAGACTGGTCTTACAGTATTTCATTGCAGTAGGACATAATAAATGATAAAGACCCACTAATTTTAAAAAGTTGGCGACTTTTAACATTGTCAAATTTAAAAAACCCCAGAGTGTTGTCTAAATGCATCTCCCTGTGGGGAAAAATTTAAAAAAGCCTGGATTAATTTTTATAGCTGACTATAAAAGCTATAAAGCTACAAACCTATATGACTATTGAAAAGGCCTTTGATAAAATAAGGTTGGATTTTGTTTTTAAATCTATGGATTATTTTGGATTTGGTGACACTTTCCAACGTTTGGTCCAAGTCATGTATACTGATATTATAAGTAATTAACTATGGTTATAGCGCTACCTCTCGTCAGTCAGGTTTGCCCTTTATCTCCTATTTGTTTATTCTTTGTGTCAAATTGCTAGCTATTAATATTAGATCAAATATCAACATTGAGGGTTTATGTACAGAATGAAAAGAAACTAAAATTTCACAGTATGCCGATGATTCTAATTTTCCTAATACTCCTAAGATGAAATCCCTATATTCATTGACATCTGACTTAAAGCAATGTGTACTTATTTCTGGTTTGGAACCTGTGGCATCGGGGATGTGGTCAAGCATCTGCCGTGGATGGAGAGGAGACGGGTTGAACCGGTACGTAACGTGCGATGATTCTCACCTGTGTGTACTCTTGGCAAGGTTACTTAAAGTATATATTGTTTGTTTGTCTTTTAGAGAGAACGGCATGAACCAGCGTGAGAGAGGGGGACAGAGCTGACAGAGGTTGCACACACGCACACCCATACATGCAGTGGATGGAGAGGCTGGGTCACTTTGGTCACTGGGAGCTAACTAAGATGAGGTGGATGGAGAGGTTGGAGCCCCATGTAAATACTTCAGTAGAGAATCTGTTAGAGTATAGAGGATATCAGATATGGGCTATAGTCGAACCTAAATAAAGAAATGCAAGCACACTCACACAAACAAACAAGTGTGCCTAAGGCTGCACAAGTAGTTAGTAAAACATAGGGTAAAAAGAAAGCAATATGAAATACGTACCCAAAATTGACCTACAAAATATAGGCTACATAATTGAATGTATCTGTATATGTTAGCCAGATTGCTAGCTAGTTAGTCTAATTTAGCCTCTTACCTGTTATCCCCATTTTTGAGCACAGACTGGAAAATGAAATACCTACACTTAAATGATTACAGTTAATGAATGCTTTAGACTACAGGCCTAATCATGGTTACATTTAAAAGAAGACACTTAGGAGTTTTTTTGGTGAAGTGAAAGCAAGCAGCAATTGAACTGAAATTAAAACAACAATATCAGGGCCGTCCCGTGGCATAGGTGACATAGGCGCTTGTTTGTGTGTGTGTGTGTGTGTGTGTGTGTGTGTGTGTGTGTGTGTGCACATGCAGTGATCAGCATTAATCATGATGTGTCTCAAAATTTGTCTTCTGATGCAATCATTGATGACTGCAAAGAAGTCCATGCGTGTGCAGTTCTGAAACAATTCTCAAATTCAGAATAGATTCTCAAATTTTTGCAAGAAAATGTGAAAAATTTCACAGTGTTGCACTGTAGTGTGCTGGAATGTATCATGTATCTATAGCTTATTGCACTTTTGTGCCCATTTGTATTTTGTTTAATTCTTGTGTGATTTTTTTTTTTCAATCAGAAGACAATCAGAAGGTAATTTGAAACAGGTTTGTTACTCAGATTTGTTATTTGTTTGTTATTATCACCAGTTATTTACTTCATATTTATGTTAATGTTTATCATTATTTATATTATATAATAGTAAATTCAAGTTCATTTGAAAAAAATAAGTGTTTTCAGTGTTTTCCTGATGGTGGTGTTGGGTGGGTGTGGGGGGCTTGGGCGGCAATCTAAAATCTCACCTAGGGCACCAAAAGAACCTGGACCTGCCCTGATTATAAGAGCTTTTCAGTATAAATTAATATTTAAAATTGTAAAACTTTTTTTTTTTTTCGGGGGGAATGCTTTATTTATGCAAAATCTTTTATTTGTCATGCAGCAACACTTTTTGAAATGTTACATGTTAATTATTGCTGCTGTACATAAAAGGCTAGTGGTAAGAACATAGTTTTGTTAACAGTTTTTTTTTTTGGACTAACTAGCATGTAATTCTTAAAGTTCTGTTTTTTAATTCAGTTGAATTAATTCAGGCACTTCAAATATATATATCTATATAATAAATATAAATATAAATTATGAATCATCATTTACAAAAACAGTTTTAATTACCTTTAACCTTCTTTTTCTTAAATTGCATGTTAGGATTAGTATTTTGAATTTGTATGCAATGAGAATATAATTGATTTATTTGACGACTTTCAGAAGATCTACAGTTTGGTTAAGTGAGAGAACAAATCATTAGAAAAGAGGAATCACATCATACATCATATATTAAGTGTTACTTCAACTCACTTTCAAGTCTCCACTTAAATAGTGAGGCATCTGTGATTCTTAGACTTCAGGTGGCTTTGAACAGGCTGCCACTTAATTAAATTAGAAGTGCAGACTGGAACATAATTTAAAAACAAACAAATCAGCAGTCTTTATTGCTACACACAAACTGGCATGAGCCTGTTCAAGGATAAGCAGTGCATTTTTTGCACATTTCCTAAAAAGCACAAAATTTTGTGTAACCAGTTACCAGTAAAGTTTGACAGGGGGAAAAATGTGCTTGTGCTTCAAAGTGTGTACAGTCAACTCCACAATTAAAGCCTTGAAATAGGGAAACCCTTTTGAATGGGGGAAACCATGGAATAAAATACAGACACACGATTCAAATTTTCAACTCAAGCAATTGGAGAAACAACTTACCTTTCCTCTAACTAATTACTGACTACTATGTTGTTGTTCTTCTTTCGGGTGATCCCGTTAGGGGTCACCACAGTGGATCACTGGTCCGCAGCCCTCCCCAATTTTATCTGGGCTTGGGACTGGCACTGGGAGAGCACTGTCATGTGCAACCCCAGTGGCTGGGGTGGGTTCCCTGGCTAGGAATCGAACCCAGGCCTTGGCGGTGAGAGTGCCGTGGCCTAACCAATGGTCCTCCGGGGACCCTAATTACTGACTACTCTAAATGTGTTTAATTATTAATAAGAAATGCATGACAAAATGACTGGCACCATGAACAGTATTAATCATTTATCACTATTCAGATGGGAGAAGATTTCGGGACATGTTTGTTGCCAGAGGACATCTGTAGTAACTTTGATCAATAAGCAATCTCTGTATAAAATACAGAGATGGAAGTGTCTTCATGATATACACAGGGTCACCACACCAAAAGTTCCATGTATACTACAAAAATCTCTTATACCACAGCACTGTTAAATTCTTGCTTCTGAGTGGTAAGAAGGTGTTGATAAACAGCAGCTCTGAAACTAGTGCCATTTGCAAGGTTGTATTGATGTGCTCCTAAAATAAATTGTTTCACACTTACACACAAAATGTATGGTGGCTGTGATGCACATAACAGGAACTAACTTGTTTTGTTGACGTTCCACAACACTAAAAGTAACTGTAAAATTGTAAAACTGTAAAAAAGTTACATTTTTCAATGACATTATTCTTTAATTAATAAAAATAATTTGTTGACAAATTGCTTAGGAATAGGAGAAATGAAATGCTTTGGGTTTTATTTTTGTGCTGTTATATAGGAAAAATAATCAATGTTGGGGTGGTAATAACAGCATGCCCTATCTCTCTCTATTAACTGTAAATTATAATTTAGGTCTAATAATAAATGAAAAACCTATAGCCAGTGGAGTTTCTGTAAGCAGTTGTTTATTTAACAACTTATTTATTAATGAAAACTTTGGTCAGTGTCAGCACTTTGAAGTAAAGTAGAGGACTTTGTGCTTTAAGGTTTTTCAGTTATGTGAAACAGAGCATCACACCATCCTGATGTTCATTATTTTCTTTTACTCTTTAAAAAATTGTCTCTTCCACTGACTGATCTCTGTAAGCACTTGTGTTTGTGGGGAAATAATAGCTGTTCTGGTCAAAACCTGATGTTTTTGTCTTTTTTTTTTTCTTTTTTCCAAAATTCTGAATTCAAACAGAAAAAATTCACTCAACTCAACATTCAAAGTAACAAACTAATATCAGAAGATATTCTTATAAAAAAAAAAAGACTAATACATTTTACAACTATTTTGATATAAAAACAAAAATAACACCAACATTTAAAACCACACATCATAAACGTACATGTGTCAAACAAGTTCAATGGTGAAAATAGTTTGCACAGGTTAGTTCTTGTTAGTACTCAGATAAGTCCACTGGCACTAAATTCTTTCAATATAGAAAGGTTTTCAGTATATTGAAATTTATACTGGCTGTCAGGATTGGTATTTCAGTAGTCATTCCTAATATATCTTATATGTAAATGTCTGATATGATTAAAAAGAATTAATCTAAAAATCCAATATTACTATTATTTTTGCAGAAAAATCACCATGAAAATCAAACAAATGCTACAGGTGCATTTTCTGCTTGGGTATCTTCACTGGTTCCATTGTCACTTGTAAATATGGGCCACTTGTGAATAAGAGAGAATGTTATCGCTGAAACTTTATTTAGTCATGTTACTGCTTTGGTGAAGAGGCAGGCAAGTGTCTGCTTCATGTAGATTGTGCATGTCAATCAATCTGTGGGTTGATGAGCTTGATGCGAGTGTGTGGAGTGTGTGTGGTGTTTCTGCAGCAGCACAGAGAACAGAGAAGGCCCAGAATGAGAGAAAAGAGACCCACGGTGAGGGATGTACATGCCCCATAAAGCAAAGGTAATTTCATTGAATCCCACACTGAAAGAAATAAGAATAAGAATCAGAATAACATTTAAAAATTAACATTTAATGATTAACTCTTGTACTAAATAAGGTACGATCTTGCAAAAAGACTATCAAAAAATATTTATGTGGTAGTTCACATATAATACCCTGGAAGAAACCACACAAACTATGGCATTAAAATAAAACTCACATGCAAACTTGACATTAAGAAAGACCCTCTCGGATATGATCTCTGGTTCTTTCCTCCAATCTGCTGTTGTGGTTGATCGAATCCATGGTGTGGCAGTGCAGTAATACTCGCCAGCATCACTGTCTTGGGTGCCATGAATGGTGAGGACAAATGTTTGGGATCTGTGACGCTCCAGACTGCAGTCACTGGTGTCATTACGAGCACTTTTCCTCACCACACCCCAACGATCTATACTGGCCAGCAGATCGAAGCTATCTGATCCCCGTAAATGACTCTGGTACCATCTTATTTCATATGCAACATTGTCTAGATGAAAGAAATGCATAACATTATTTTTAAAGAACTACAGAGTTCAATATTTATAAGAAGACAAAGTAGTTGTGATTGTCACATATGGGCACATACTGTCAGACTATTGCCATCAGGGGCAATAGTACATTCAAACTAAGAGGGCATGAGTTCATAAATTGCAAATAGGCCAAACATTGCAATTACTGCCATAGCGCCCCTATTGACCTATGTCCACCAGTCTCCTGTCTCTGATTTATGTCTAGCAGACTCCTTCAATATTAAGAACTGATCAAGTCTGTTAGTCTTGATTATACAAAGATTTTGCTGATGAACTCAAAATTTATATAATTTGAAATGCCTGGTTTACAGAAAATTAAGTCAATATTTACTGTCCAGAAACAAATCTATTGGCAAAGGTACTCAGTTTAAGGATATTTGACACCTATAATTTTCAACAAATTTAGCATCGCAACTTTGCAAGATAAACCAAATTTTATTTTATTTTATTTTTCATTTCCAAACAAAATTAACAATAAGTCTAGTACCACAATATATTCAGGGCCCCAGGACTTTCCATACAATTATTTAAATGTTATAGCCCAACTGCCTTAAAGTGCCATACTCAAGCTATGCAGTGGTCAGTTCTTTTATGACCACTTTTTTTTTTCAACTCTATATTCCATCTCAACTCTTGCTCATTTTGGTACAGGAGTGCAATGTTTCCAAAATGAGAGAGTTGGAAACACTGCACTGCAGGCCAGATAAGGGTTAGGCTACCACACATGCTCGTAGTCCCACCCAGTGAAAATCAATTTTTTTCCCCCTTTCAAACAAAATTAACAATTACAATTAATAAAAAATTAACAATTCATTGTGGTAATCTCTTACCACAATATTTACAATATACATGATGATTTTATAAGATAGAAATAAAAATTGCACACGTAATGTGTGGTTCCTAGAAAACACCAGGCCCTTTCTGAAGGCATTAAAGCTAGAAAGCTAGATTTCTGATTTACATAAAGACAAAATAAGTACCCCCTCTCTTTTGTCAAAAATATATGACACTACATGTGTTAATCACATTAGGCATTAAGTTATGACATCTAAAACAAGTTATATTTCTCTCAGGTCATCAGGAAAAATCAGACTCAACTTAATAATAACAAATTTAATAATGACTGAAAGTGCACGCTGATCATTGCAGAAAGAAGGAATTGACAACAGTTTGTGAAATTCTCAGACTGTGCCATTGGAGTAAGTGGGGCTCAGGCTGGTCCTATCAAATGTGAAACCAGAAATTTGATTTGGCTCTTGTCTTCCTAACCAGTCTCACTGCCATAGGCAAGAAATGAATGCCATCAGTGAACTGGTGTTAAAAAAAATAAAAACAGGTTTTTAATAAACCCTGTCTGGTCTGAGTGATTCACAAAGGAAAGAATGTTTTCTAGGCAGGTGGCTAAAATCTTAGCTCTTTAATATCTTTAGTATTTCATTATCTACATCAAGTAGACTCATTGGCCTGTATGAGTTTGGGGCTAACAGGTTTAAATATTAAACACCTCAAGCAGCAGAGGTGAGATCAGATTGTTGAAGGTTTTGCAAAACTCTGATATATATATATATATATATATATATATATATATATATATATATATATATATATATATATATATATATATATAATATATATATATTATATATATATATATATATATATATATATATATATATATATATATATAGCCATCTGGTCCTGGGACTTACTGTCTGGATTAAATCCTCCCTAATTAGAGTTGTTAATTGGTTAATGGTTGGAATATCTAGATCTTCTCTATATATCTAGAACCTCTGTATATAAGCAAGACGTCCTTTAGAATCAGAATCAAATTTATTGTCTCATGGTGGATTCTGAGGTTTATACGTTTGTGTAGTACTGCTTAAAAGTATTATTTTTTATGTTATTTGTTATTTATATTATTTATACTTGGATTCAGTGTGATTTGTCCAGAGTTGGTACACATCTCTGTTATTACTCTCATTCCTTAATTTGGTGTGCTAGAATTTTACACACTGTGACGAGGAGGAGGGAGGGGCCAGGCTGTGAGGATGCATGTTTGGCACTGAGTTGTCTAATCAGTGGGAGAGAGTAACAAAGGAGCAGGTGGGGAGAGACAGAGAGGCACACTCCTAGGATGCGGGGCCAGCTGGCCGAAGGAGGTAGCTGAGAGGGCAGCACTGCTCCTCCCGAAAGGGGGGTTATAAAGGAGTGCCTGGAAACGCCTGGAGCCTTCTCTTTGTAGCCCCATAGCTTGGCAATCAGCCTGAGAGAATGCGTACAAAGGCTGGTGGATCCTTTTTGATGGTTCGCTGGGTGATGTATATCTGGTGTTATGTCCTTCCAGTTACTGTAAATGTACATCAATAAAAGGGCATCCCCTATCTGTAATACCTAAAATAGCATAAAGTTATGGAAAAGCAACGACTCGTAATCAATCACACTATCCAGTGTCCTGGTTCCTCTCAAGGTTTCCTCCTTTTCCTATAATTGTGTTGTGCTATGGTATTAAGCTAGTTGTGTAAAGTTGTTGACAAGGCTGTTATTACGGGACAAGAAAGAGAAGACAGCAATCATTAAGGGCTTAAGTGATGGCATATCAATGCTTGAAATTGCTAAAATGGCTGGCAGAGTTCATTGTGCCACAAACAAGTATGTGGCAGATTAGAAAGCAATTAGGAAAAGGTCAGATATAAAATGAAAGCTGTTTAACAATGTTATTG